GCACGACGGCGATGATGCCCATCATGGCCATGCGCCCGTTTGCCATCTCTGCCGCAGGCGTGAGGCCAAACGTGCCCTTGAGGGGCACAAAGAGACCATACGGGTCCTGAGGGGAGGGGGGTGGGGGGGGGGGGGGGCCTCCGCCAAAAATGCCGCCCCACCCCGTCCCCCCCTGCCGCGCGCGCGCTGGGTATGCCCCCCCGCTTCCTCTCTGCTTCCTTGAGGCACGCCCGGCGGCGGCGGCGGCAAGGGCAAACGGCGCTCACCTCGTCCTTCTCGCCGTCGAGCAGCGTGAGCGAGTCGCCGAGCACCTGCGGGCCGAAGGCTGCGGCGGCCGACACGGCCAGCGCGTGGACGTGCGCGATCATGATGATGGCGCGCTCGTTGGTGATGTAAGTGTTGAATCCCTGCTGCGCGAGCCCGCCCCACTCGTTGTAGGTGAGGGCGACGTCCCCGCTGGGCAGCCAGCCGTGCGACTTGGCAACGCCCGTCCCCAGGATCGCCAGCCAGCCAAACATGGCGTGGCGGCCGTTCCACCTCTCCGCCTTGACCGTCGGGCCAAAACCGTATTTCGCGAGCCAGGGGTAGTCCGCCGCGAACTGGGACATGCCCTTCTCGAAGCCGGCCGCGGCGGGCGCGACGGCGAGCGGGGCGGGCGCGCGGACCACCGGCGTCGTCACCACCGGCCGGACGGCCGGCGCAAGCGCGAAGGAGGCGACACTCACAGGGAACATATGGAGCTGGAAATGAAGTCCGAGCAGCGACAGCAGAAAGAAAAACGTGGCGCCGGGTTTAATGACTGCACTCCAAGTGCTCCAAGTGCGAGTCTCCGCCGGCTGTCTTGTGACACAACACCCAGCGAGCAGAGGCCAGAGCGCAGCGTCGTGCCCCGGCGCGCGATAGGTCGCGCGTCGCGCCGCCACTCCGCTGTCGCCATCCGCGCTCGCTCGCTGTGCCGCCGCCGCCTTCGGCCATCGCCACCCCGCCAACCCACCCCACCCCGCCCCCGGACGCGCCTCAGCGAGTGCCTCAGCAGGTGCCGATGGCGATGCCGCCGTCGACGTTGATGCAGTGGCCGGTGATGTAGTCAGCGGCCGGGTCGAGGGCGAGGAACTTGACGAGCCCGGCCACCTGCGCCACACGGAGGCCTCACGCCTCCGCGGAGAGGGGCGGCACGCACGCACGCACGCACAAAGAGAGAGAACGCAGGCGCCGCGGGGCGGAGGGAGCAGCGCCGTCCCACGGAACGGCCCGGGGGGGGGGGGGGGAGGCCCGGCCCGATCTCGGCCCGATCTCGACTCGGCCTCGCGCCTCCTCGGGCTTCCCAAACCGGCCCGCGGGGATGCCCTTCATGACCTCGGAGACGATCTTCTCGTCGAGCACGTCTGGGGGAGGGGCGCGAGGGAAGGCCGGGGGAGGGGTCGTCTTGGGGGGACGTTGGGGGGCGGCGAACCT